CTTTTCTTTAGTGTGAAATTCAACTCTACAGAGAATATTGTTTTTGGCAAAAATTATTCAAGTGACTTAAAAGTTATATTAAAAAAATAGAATGGATATTAACTTGTGATTTTTCTCTCCTAGTAACCTAGATTACCTGTAATCCAGGCTAGGGCTGTCATAACTACTAACCATTTCCTCCTATCTTTTATGTGAGTCCTTAGTACAGGGAGATGCAGAAACTACAGGCACTGAACAGGACTACAGTCTTAGATGCCTACTCTTGGTGTCAGGCAATTACCAGAGTACCCAGCAAAGGCAGCTACTGAAGCTCACCTGGCCACCAAACCTTCTTAAGCTTAAATCTGTGGTCCAGGCTCGCAGCTCTCCTAAGTAAAGCCAGGGCCCACAGCTATCAGCCTTGCTTCTCCTTAGCCTGCCTGCTCCTTCGGCACTTTGAGAACCTAGCAAAAGACTAACAATAAGGAGAGTGACAGTTTAATCACAGCCAACTTCAGCTCTCCCAGGTCTGTGGCAATGGCAATGAAAAAAACAACCGGAAACTATAGCTCTAAAAATGGCTTTGTGAAATTTGCTATCTTCACACTTTTATGTAACTTCAAGGAAGTGGCAGGTTCTCTGAGGAATCTTCTTCACCATCTACCTGAGGATACCCTTTGCTTTTGTCTTCTGATAGATGCCTGATTTCCTCAATCAAATATTTCTACATTTTCTCATTTCATGTTTCCCTTTGTGGTACATTAATTTTTTCTCATTGACACTCTATCCCTAAAGTTCTGTACCTAAAGCAGCTCTGTACAGTAACTGCTTGGGTCTTAATGATAGTTAATGCCGTATCCAACAAATGTCATTATATCTCTCTTAATGACTAAAATATTCCATTATGTCTTGTGATTTTGTTGTGGTGTTCCACGGAACCTTGGTGTGATTTGGGAAAAAATGCTCCTAGATCTTATCTTCCTTTTCAACTCCTTTATTTTAGTGGTATATACACTCTAGAAGCTTCCTGAAAAGGGGTATATCAGAGTTAGTTTTTTGAAACAGTGATATTTATCTTTATTCACCCTTGACATTGTTTGATATTTTTCCTAAATATATATTTGAGGAAATTTGATATTATATGCCCATTTTGGAGCTTAATGTATATAACTTCAATGATGACTTTTGAATTTTTCTATATCACCTCAAATACCTGGCAAATAGTAGGGAAATAGGTGTGGAACAATGAATAAATGGACCCTTGTGTGAGCCTATTCTAAGTTCACCAATGACAAAACAAAATGATTAGGTCTGTCATTTTTTTTAAATGATGAAAAAATATGCTTAAATGGAGAAGTATAAATAAAATCCAATTATCAGAAACTATAGAACAGTAATAGATAAAAATGCTTATATTTTACCAAGCAGAAACGGAAAAATGGAGGAAATTTTATAGACTATATCTGAATTATGCCATCTAATTATAATATTGCCATTTATCCTCCAAATTAATAAAATATTGCTTCTACTTTTAATGATATTGTCAATAATGCAGTCAGCTTGAGCTCAGCAGGTAGGCCAGTTTATCATATAGTGAAAGCCAGCCTGTGTTCATAATATATTAAATGCATGAGCCAATAATTCTGAGGCTGAAATAATGCATCAATCCATAATAAGAATTGCTTTTAATTTAGACATTGATAAGTAAAGGATAACTCAATATTCATCTTCTAAGAAGGCTATTTTAATAATGACCCAATTGTCCTTTCTCCATAATAAAGTCAACTACTCAAGCAAACACTCCAAGTTCTAATTCCAGGGAAAACCAGCATGTCTGAGTCTTACCACATCAGTGCTGATGAAGCCAGCCCAGAGCTCAAGTCCTTCAGGAGTCCCATGGCCTCATGCTTCATGCTCCCCTAAGGAAAACTCCACACAGTTGCAAGTAGCAGAAATGAATGGATGCCAACATCATGATTATCATAAAGACTTCCAAGGAACACCTTCATCATATACACCAAAAGCAGAATGTCACCTGTTCACTTCATCAAATTTGATTTTGTATCTTTCATTTATACCCACTGTATTCTGTGCATCTTACCTACCCATCTGCTTATATTGAAGTTGAGTTATAAAGTAAATTCTAAATAGCTGTCATATTGCTATCTAAGCCTCAACAGAAAAAAAAATAGAACCTGATCTGGTTCACATGCAGAAATTCTCAGGTTTGGAAACAGCTTTATCCTCAGACCCCATTACATGTCCGAATAATCTCCACCTTTCCAGTTCTTTGTAATCTTTCTGTCTGCTCAGTCTGCCCTAGCTCTGTTTAGAGTTCTTCAGACAGGGTCTGATAGCGAACCTCCTCACCCTAACTGCATTTCCCCACCAATGTCAGCTTTGCCTTCAAATAGCAAAGTAGTCTCGTTCACACCCAGGTACCACTGACTGAACCGTGTGGAAGTTTCTAGTGCTTGTTCTTAGCAGTGTCACAGCTCACCCATTCTGTCCTCTTCCCAGTCCTTTTGGAACTCAAGTCCCAGAATCTGAGTGCATTTTTGGACACTTCTGTGGACATTAGTGCCTCCAGGTGACTGTCCCAGAAAGGATGTTTTCACTCTGTCTCTCCCTGATGAAGCTCTCCAGTTACCTTCTGTGATTTTAGGTGCAAGTTTCCATAACACTATTTGGCTTCAGGCAGCCGTTCTTGTACTTGGTCATACTAAACCATCAAAGAAAAAATTTCCATAGAGTGTAACTCTCCATATTTGACTGGTTTGAGAAAGAGATAAATGAGTTTTTATACGCATCTCCTTCTGGTTTTCTTTGTTCCACAAGAAGCATTTCTCCTCTTTTCAGGAAACACTAAAGACACCCTGACTTTTCTAGGCCTAACTGCAACTGAGGCTGTTGTGTTTTATTTATTTTATTCATTATTCTTACAAAGAAACTTCAACAATTTCTTTTTGTGGGCTACTTAAATCCAGCATGGAAGCTAGTGCAGTTTTATAGCTATGCCTGAGAGGTTCCATTTCAAACTGTTTTAAAATGGAGAAGCTTTGAGTTACAGAGCTGAAGCAAATAAGGAAAGACTGGAACTGATTTTATCACAGGCATAATTACATAATCAGCCTAAATATGCATATGCAAAAGATAGGTACATACCTAAAGTTCCTAGTCAAACAAATACCTACATTCCTAATCTTACTAAAAATAGCAATAAGTCCCTTAGTATGTGTGCTTTGAAATGCTTTGTATAATTCACATATAGTGACTGAATTACTATTATGTTCTCTGCTTTCAATGTGTTTGCACAATATTTAGGGGAGACATCTAAACTTTCTGGAACTATCAGATTGGGTGAAAATAATTACCTTTGCACTTAAAACTCTATTTAATCCACCTAACAAACATCAAACATTGTGATCACCTGTTATAAGGGAGGAATCTGTGGCTAAAGGAGGAAAGAAGATACGCAAGTAGTGCATAACTTTTAATGGACAGGACTTGGTTGGGTCATCAGCCTTAGCCTGCAGTGTGCTGATTTCTAACCTAGAGCTCTTTCTACTTCTGTTCTCCGATACCCTTGCCTCATCTTTCTTTTTCAAATTTTGGAAGAAAATCTTATCAGAAAGTTAAATTTTTTAATGTATTCTTTCGAGTCTGTACCATATTGCATTTAAATTTCTTATCCACTATTCATTTTTATTGTAACATTTTTAGAAGCTGATGTAAGTGTATAAGCAAAAGTAAAAACACTGGATGTAAAGTATACAGATTAAAGGTTACACTAGTAAGCACTCACGAACCCCAGATACTTAGGGGTATAGGAGTGGGCATTCATTTGCATCCTTTATCTCCTTCTTTGGTATACACACTCTTATTATAGTTAATTTCAAACTACTAAAGAGTATCACTGACTGCCCATTGCCGGTTGCCTTAGAAAGCGATACACACAGTTAGTCTTCATGAGCTAGTACTAGCTGCCACCAGCCTTCATTGATATTTTCTGCTATAAGACATTTTGTTTAAATTAGTCACACACCAGGCTGGCATCCACTGTTTTGTTTTCCCCTAAGAATTGCATTCCAGAACAATGTACATAGAATAAACTGTATCCACTACAAGTGGACATTTCTATTTTTTAACAACTGTATAGGTTTACAAAACCACCAACTATGTCAAGGATACCTTATCTCCACTATTCTTCATTTCAATCCATTACTGGCACCCACTGATCTAATCAGATCAGATTTACATTTTATAGGAATTTTTACCAGTGGAATTATACAGTCATCCACTGTATAAATAGCTGGTTCTCTGTATTTGCTTTTTCTTCACCCAGAATAATACATTTGTAATTCTTCTATGTTGTGTGTCCTACTGTCAGTTCCTTCTCATCTTTTTGCAGCCTTTGGCTCTATGCAGATACCACCATGTGCCTTTCCATCCTTGCCACGTACAGTGGAGTTTTTGCCAGTTCAACTCTTGGAAATAAAGCTTCCATGAGCACTAATATTTCTATAGGAATAGAATGGCACTCAGTGTATGCTAAACTTTTTACAAAATTCCAAAGTGGTCTTATTGAGTGTTCCAACAATAGTTTATCCTTTTCATTTTAGTTGTACCAATGGGTGGCTGGTAGTACCTCACTGCAGTTCTACTTTGTATTTCCCTGGTAATTAATGATGTGGATTATTTTTCTGTGTGCTTATTGACCAGTCATTCTTTTCTAAAGTGTTTTATTTAATTGCTCATTTGAAAAACATCAGGTCACTTGTCTGCTTATCATTCAGTTGTAAGAATTCTTTATATATTTTACATACTAGTAAAAGCATTTACTTTTTACTTTTCTCAAAAAGTAGATGAATACTAAATGATATTTAAAATGAACAAATTATGGAAAAATAGGCCCTTACGTTCAATGACACTTATCTAGATAATCATATGCCTTGTTTATTTTAATAAGCACAACAATTCTGTAAAGAAAGTAGAGTATTTATAGTTATCTTCTCTTTCAGGATGAAGAAACTCAGTTTCAGGTAGCCAGTAGAGCACATGCTGAACACGTGAGTCTTGAAAGCAAATAGCCTGAATTCAAATTCTGGCTCGCCATTTACTGAGAAACCTTGAACAAGTTAATAATCTTTAAAACTCAGTTTTCTCACTGGTTAAATGTGAAGAATCATAGAGCTTAACTCAAAGTGTCATTGTAAAATTAAGTGAAATAATAATTGTATGATACCAGTTTATGCAAGTTATCATGAAAGGAAGAATGTAAGTCTACCCAAAACATATCTGAAGAGATTTGTATGGAGGATGAAAACAAGGGTGATGATACCTGGGTGTGGGAATCATGACGTTACAGCAGGAGAACCTTGTGTTTTTAATGTTTTTGTTTTGCTGTTTTCTTTATCAGCAGAGAGGGAAATCTGTCTTAAGTTCAGGTCAAAACAAAGAAAAACAGTGTCCACGTGGAGGAGTCCCACCAGATATGGATTGCCCATCCCTGACTCTAGATCACCCTAGACTGGCAGTAAAAACCCATTCCATACACAAGCCGTGATTCACTATTAGAGAGGAGGGGCCCTGATAGAACTAGCCTGTGACGATATGATGCAGAATAAGACACCCACAGAGTGACACTGATGCAATGTTAAGCAAAATTAATCAGGCAAAATCAGTATCTAAGTATTTTTGGACTTGACTGATCTTGTCTTTCCCTAGGTTTTGGCACTCTGTCATGAAGTCAGCACTACTCAGTTAAACATAGTGTGTGTGTTGCACACCCACATACACAAGCATCCTAACTGCCAGGTGTGGGCTCCCTCTGGGCAGTGTCTTGTAAATCAATACTATGGTCATGGCCTCTCAGAAAGGAAATCCTTCCAGTGTCCACATTGTTTGACTTATTTTAATAATCATCTGAAAGAATTTTGACTGGCAGGTATGGGAACCCAGGCATGGAGCCAGAAGAAAGAGCAACATCATCGTGAGACAAATGTGCATGAAATAGAAAGTCTTCTACATTGCCTAGTTCATGTGGATGAACAGGTAAGTCATAAGAGAGGAAAGACTAGTCATGGAAAAGATGCAGAGAATCCCAAGTACCAGGTTGAGAGGTAAGGACTTCCCTCCTTAAATAAGGTCCAGAATGTATCTGAGTAGGGAAATGAATAGGCTAACGAGGGGAAATTGGTAAAGAGGAACCACATAGAAGTACTGGCAATATTTTGAACAGTAAATGAGAAAGGTCTGACTCAGCGTCATAGCAATAGGAATTAGAAGAGGCATTTTTGGAGATGGAATCTATGGATGTTATCATATTCCTCTGGGTTTGGAGAAAGTCTGATACAGAAGCTTTGCTGCCATTTGCAGAGCAAAGGCCTGAAAGAAAGAGGAAGAAATGGGGTTTTTTTGGGGAGGAGGGGCAGGATTCGGGATTATGGACATTTTGAAACTGAAGTGTAGAAAGGCCAACCCAGAGAAGATAATTAAAAATAGAGTTGAATTGAAAATAGGATAATTGAAGTGTGGATCAAGAGAGAGGCAAAAACCAGAAATAGAAAATAGAGAACCACATTAATGGATATTAAACTTGGAAATCAAAGGAGGGGAGCATTACTGTTGGATCAGAGTCAGAAACAGGACAGATTTGTCCTGACCCCTTTTGATTATCTTTTATAGTATTTTATTTTCCAATAAGTTCACTCTAACTATAAAACAATAATAGGAAGAGATCTGTGCTACCTTTATTTACCCAGTTTCCCCCAATAGCAACATCTTGTAGGATACTGTACAACATAAACAGAATATGCATGTGATACAGCCTACCTATGTTGCTTAGATTTCTCCACTTTCCTTTGTATCCATTTGTGCATGTTTCTTTGTATATATTTTGTTCTGTGGAATTTTTATCCCACATGTAAGTTATGTGACCATGACCATAGTCCAGACAGAGCAGTTCTATCCCTGGATGTCCCTTCTGTTTTAAATCCTTTTGTAATTGCACTCAACTCTTCCTTCTCTACCTCTAGCTCTGGTACTAATTAGTTCTCTATTTCTATAATTTTGTGGTTTCGACAATGTTATATAAACTGAATTATACACTTCTTGGACTTGGACTTAGTGTTATTTCCTGGAAATTTGCCCAAGATGTTAAGTGTATCTTCATTGTTAAGTAATAATCCATGATATGGATCTACCACAGCTTATTTAACCATCCATCAGGGTTGTTTCTCAGTTTTGATTATTCTGAATAAAGCTATTATAAATATTTGTGTACAAGCTTTTGTGTGAATATAAGTTTTCATTTTTCTGACCTGAATCCCAGACAATGCAATTGGCAGGTCATGTGATAATTTTACAAGTATCTACTAAACTGTGTTACATAGTAGCGGCACCATTTTTTATCCCCACCAGCAATACATGACTGATACCCTGCCACCTGTACATTTATTTACAAATGTAAATACAGTTTTTTTTAAAAGAATCACTCTCATTTATTCATATAGAGTATTGTCCATTGCTACTGCTTTCTCACTACAATGACTCAGTTGAATGGTAACAAACACCAACTAGTCCACAACGCCTAAAATATTTATAATCAGAGCCTTTACAGGATAAAGGTTACTGACCTCTTTTCTAGGGATTGGTGACTGACTGCAGCCAGAGCTCTGTATCCTAGGTGGGAATGGCTCTCCTAGAGCAGCAGAGTGAAGTATGGAGGGGCCTAGAAGAAGTCTCAGGCTGAGGGGACCAGCGATGTTGAATGCAAAGGGGCCTGTGTTGGATATACTGGGTTCCCCAAAAATGTTCTGAATAGCATGCCTGCAGAATTGGGGAAATCCAGGATTGCTTGGAAAATTGGATTGAGGGGGTCCTAGAAAGACTTTCTGGGTTACAGCCTACAATGGAAGCAAGCCACTGACAAAGTGCTGTAAGTGTGGAGGATGTAGGAGGTGGAAAAGATGCAGTGGAGATCAAGAGAAATTATCACAATTCTTCTAGTCTAATATGTCGTCATAATAAGCAAACTCAATTACTTAAATAGCAAGGCTTTAAGAGGGGAAAGAGGTTGAAATTTCCAAAATCAATTTTAAAATGCATCCAAGTAAAATTTAAACATTTAGAAAATGTATGCCTCAGAGTGGAAGAAATGTAGTTAACTAGATGTTGTGTTGTAGTAAAGTATGTGTAAAATCTCTGCAGTAATTGGTAATTCACATGATGTTGAGGTCCTGGGGGGCAGTTTAAATGTTAGGACAGGAAATAATACTGCAAAAGATACTAAAATCTTGAGAAATTTGGTAACATTGACAACCTTGCCCAAAGCCTTTATGTTTTAAAATTTGCAGGAGGTTAAGTTTATTTCATATTGGATCATTGTCCCTCTCAACATTTTCTTAAGATGAGTGTTATTATCTCCATTTTTACAGACATGTAAACTGGAAAGATGATTCTGGAGATTTCCTTAAGATGGAGAGATGGCAGAGTCGATACATGAGTTCAGCCATCCTAGTCTGTGAGAATGCCATAGGATTGCAGAAATGAAGATAAGAAGGAAGGAGAACATGATGTGTGGGTGGCGTGGACTTCACTCCATCTGCCTTTGTGAAATTTTATAGTGTGGTAGGGGAAAGGAAGAAGAACGAGGACATCCATCTCCCTACTCCGTTTCCTTCCCCCATGTTTCAAAGTTACAGGAATATAGAGGGCGCCACCATCACGGGAAATCTAGGCTTTCGTGTCTTACTGAAGTTGTGTGGAAGAGAAAGAACCTACTGATAAGAGAAGACCTGCTGAGACTCTGTACAAGGACCATTAGGTGGCAGGCAGGAGTAGAGAGGGCTTCAAAAGTGAGCCAGTTCAGAGAGAAATCCCACATCTCTCAGTCTGCTCAACTTTCTTTTTCTCTTTCTGCTCTTGGATACAGGCTAAAGATGTGTTTGTTTCCTTTGGACTTCTTGATGATGTTCCACTCTGTCTTAGCTGGTAGGATGCTAAAGAGACCCCAGGATCTCTCTAAAGCCATGTGACCTTTGCTGTTATGTATTTACTTTATAACTCTTTCTGGACTGCATCAGCTTGCTTAGGCAACATGGAGGTCAGGTACCCTGGGTACATTTGCATGTTGAAGAGCATCCAATTTCCAACCCTGCAGCATTAAAAAAGAACTGTAACATTATGTTCTTTTCATCCATCACTGTCTTCTCCAGAACCTTCTTTATAATTCACAGTTACTTTGGGAAAAGTTCTGTGTTTTGTTTTTGTCATTTTGTTCACTCTTTTAGCTACATCCATAACTTGATTTCTTTATAAGCCTCTCACCATTTCTTTTCTGCCCTCAGCAATGGTTTGTATAATTTGGGTGGTTACATCAGATGGCCCAGAGAACACAAAGGAGTGGAGAACAAAGTAGAACATTAATCTATAGATGGTTAAATGGGGGTACTTTCGAGCTAACATAGCAACCAAGAGCTTCAAGGGGCTTCTGGGACTTTAAGTAAAACTAAGGATGACCTCAGATAAACTTGGCATATAGCCAAACTCTAAAAACTAAGCATGCATTTTGTTTGCTTTTTTTCTCCCTCTCTTATTCATTCAACACACTTCAAAAAAACATATAAATGATTAATTCAGGTTCAAGAGGCTGGCTATGATCTAATTCACAGAGGCTGTCTGCAAAACAAAGGAGAAACAAAATCAGAGAGATTTGGGAGTTCTGGCAAGAGTGAAATAAAATGGTCCATTTGTTTGATTTCTCCCTTGGTTTTCTCAATTATTAATATCGAAATATTTGAACAGATCTATAAATGCCTTTGAAATGAACAAAAATGGCAACAGTAAAATGATAGTCACTGTCAGGATAGTCAAAGCATTGACTTTTACTTTTGTTGAAACCACAAACTTTGCTTCTTCCAACACGATTGTTAAGCTCACCAAAGTAATTTTATCATCTTTTCACCTCTGCCTTTTACTGTTTGACTCCATTACTAATTAAGAGATGTAGGAATCCCGATTCTAATGTTAAGTAGAGACAAGAAGTGAAAGGGACCCATGCATGGGTCTGGAAAATGGTTGAGGAAAGCAGTAAAGTGCTTATCTATCTTTGTTTCTCTCTTTGTTTCTTTGTTTCTTCCTTTCTTCCTTTTGTCCTTCCTTCCTTACTTCCCTCCTCCCTTGGTCCCTCCTTCCTTTTTCCTTTCCTTCCTTCCTCCTTGTTTTTGTAGTCAAGAAGAAGCCAGACATTCTAACAACTTTCTAAAATGAAATTGTGCTCAACTTCTTGAGCTACTTGTAATTTATGCCTATGCCATCTCTGAAAAGATGGCATATTTTGATGGGGTATTTTGAACTTGGAGGAAGCAAGCAAAGAAAGGGCCCAGGACAGAGTTTTAAGTCCCACCTAATCTTTTACAAACAAAAAAAAATTAAAAGACTGAAACTACAATTTAAGAGCCAAAATTTAATGTTGAAAAGTGTATTTTTAAAAGGGATTTTTAGATACAGAAAAATATAGTTAAGTTTTATAACAGTTTCAATATGCTCTGTAATTTATTTTTGGCTTCTTAGGATTTTTTACCCATGTTTTCTGGTATATAAATAATTTAAATTTGAGTCCTTAAAATTTCTAGGTATAGGGAATCAGCAACCCAAATTCATTAAATATTTGAAGTAGGTTATTAATATTAAGAATTTATGAGTTTCAGAAACAGTTTTTTAAATAACACTGAATAGCAGTCTCTTTTTTCTATGGTTCGTCTTAGCAGGCCTGAGCCTCACACCAGCCCCCAGTGGGCACCTCTCTGGGGACAAGGCTAGCTTTCAGCTACATGCCTGAGAGCGGGCTCCAACTGGCCCAAATGAAGCTATTTTCAAGACAAAAGAATGAAACTTCAATGACTTTCTTGAATTTCCTGTGGATTATTGGCATTTTTTTTGTTTAATAAACTTTTACCAGAGCACTGTAAACATCCCCAGGGATAGAAGAACATTGAATATTTGGTCACAAAGAAAGCATTTAAATCCATCCATGTTTCCCCAAATTTAACATTTCAACATTAAGAAAAATATTGATATTATGCTGGTGTCCTACAGAGGACTGTCCAGCATAGAAATGGGAGAATGTTGAAAGGTTCAGCATGATTTATAGGTCACATAGCACAAGATGTTACTGAGCTTTTCCAAGGGAAGAAGGCCTTAAAGACAAACTCCTTAGGTAGTGTCCAGGCAGCTCTCTTGTGGGGCTTCTTTTCCTTCAGAAGAGAAAGCTCACAATGATAGGGGTAGACACGTGGGTCCCAAAGTGCCTGTTGCATTCTACAGCAGCACACTAGAACCATGCATGACTAGATACCAGATTGCAGAAGAGGGATTCCCTCTCTTGGGTTGTGGGGCTACTAAGCTGTATGATTAGGGAGAAGTAGTCTATTATGTGGTGTGATCCAAGGCAAAGATGCAAACTTGAAAGATAGAGACGCATGAGTGAGCCAATAACTTTGACAACCAACCAGATGTCACCATGATAGCAGCAAAGTGTCACCAGGACACCACTAGTCCTGCTTTGACATGATATTAAAGCAAATTTGGAGGACTAGATTCCAGGTGCATTTGTATGCCACTGAACTTTAAAAAATTTAACTTACTTTTTTGGAGTCCACTATTTAGGCCATTGGTTTTAGGAAGTTACTTTTTTAGTAACTCAGTCTACTTCCAAAACATAGCCCATAAACATCCTTTGCTATGTTACCATCTTGTTCCATTACAACCTCTGGAGGGTGACAGTCAATACTCACCAGGTGGCTCATCCCAAAGGCCGACAGGATACCTCCATCTGGAAGAATAGCTTGGGAGGGGCCCATTGGCAAAGCCAGGAAAACTAATAAGGCTGGCACCCTTGGCTGTGGCTCAAAGGTTAAGCGAAGGTTAACTGGGGATCCCATTGTTGCTTCTAGACTTTTCCCAGTGACTGAAGATGTCATCGTGGAGGGAGGAAAAGCTGTGTATATGATATACTTAGCCTGTCTTCTAAGGCCCCACGGTTGGCAGCCATTTTTATTGGTGACACAGGAATCATGTCTTGATGGACTGAGCAAGAGGAGTTGAGATCAACATTCTTCTATTACCAGACCTTTAAGTAGCTGTCAACTCTCCACCTCCCACTTCTGCTACAAGGTGGTAAGTCTATCACTACGACATGTTAGCTGAGGAAGCTTATCATTGTGAGACTATATGGTGCTGTGTTTCCTGATATTGCATTATCCAATTCGATTGGAACCAAAGTTGTCCATCATGCATAAATTATGAGTGCTGATGCCTGCAGTTGGATTTTCCATCATCACCCAAATCACTAGACAATACTGACATTTGAGGGATATGGTCACCTTGTCTCCCTTCCAGAACTATATTCTGGGGCCTCTTTATCCCTGTCTTATAGATGATCTGTGTCCTTCTCTAATATTTCCTTTACCTCATCCCAACCAGTCAAAGAACATCCTTTGGAAATCATCTGGTAAGTCCCTGTTCTCCACTGTGTGTGGGGGGGGGGGGTGCATGTTCCCTAGAGGAACAGAAGCAATAGGAAAATATACATTATATAAAATTATGCAGAGGATTATTAGGCTTACAGGCACAGAGGCAGGAGAATCCACAGCGGCCTTCTACACACTGGGGAGACAGAGGGTCCAGCACCTGCTCAGCCCAAGGAGCTGGAGGCCACAGAGCAACAAAGCCCCCTTAGGAGGGATCCTTCCTGAACAACCCAGCCCCCAACTTTCAGAAAGTTTAAGACAGATATGGTGAATATTTTCAGAGTTCAACTACATTCCATCAATGAATGAAATACATTCCAAGATGGTAAGCCAGAGAAGAATTCAAAAAATTGGGAACACAGGAACAACAATTGTTACTTTGTGGGAACGTCAGTCTAGTGTTGTCCGGTATTCCATTGATCAAGGAATCAAGAAAAATGAGCAATATGGTGTTTTATCTATTGAGTTCTTATATCACTAGTTACAACCTCTACTAACATGTAGCTTGTTATTAAGCTGCAAAGCACCTAAAGTGGAAAAGATAAATAAAGATAATACTTAATAGACCAAGATTTGTTTGGACTCTCTAGATCTCTGTCTCTTAAAGGATTACTCAGTAAAGTACTCTGTAATTCTCTTTAAAGAGCCCCCCTTTTAAGCCTAATAAGCATCTCCTAACCCTGTGAATCTGCCTGTTTCTTTGAGGAATGACTTTATGTCTGCTGGGAAGACTGAGCACATTTTATTGCTGCCAAGATTCCCAATGATGGTCCAAAGATATCTTTTGCTGCCTTCTTGTTGCTTTTACAGGTTTTTTATGCTACCATAAACATGAACTTGGGACAAAAGAACTTGTGTAGATAAAGTTCAGCCCTCTGGAGCTAAATCTGGTGTGTTACTACAAAGTACCATAAATAATGTCATTTCATCCTTGAGCTGGAAGAAGGGGGTGTGGTGGTGGGCGTGCTTGAGTGGCAGTTCAATCTCTTCTCATCAGCGTAGCAGCTTCCTGTGGGTTATCCCAGGGGCAAAGCAGAAATGTGGCTTTGGGGAAGAAATAGTTCTCATCCTTAACCGGAAGTTTTCTAAGTGTACAGTTACTTGCCCAATCATCAGTAATATTTTTCAGGGGTTTTTTAATTTTAAATTTTAAGTGTGCTACATAGAAAGAGAATCCAAGAAAGGAGTTTGCCTATGGGAACAAAGAAGTGCAAGGTCCCTTAAGGAAAACACTGGTGAGGAAATGAGCAAATCAAATGGAGATGGGAATTCGGGGATCATTACCTCGAGGCGGGAGGTGTTATGAATTCAAGGATCATTACCTTCAAGTAAGGAAAAGAGGGAAGAAGAGTTTGATAGAAACAAACAAGTGTGGTTGTCTACACTAGGACACTGCCGAATTCAACTGCTCAGTGAAAATGTGTTCTCACCTGTAGCAATGTGATGGCATCCACTTCAGGGGTGGGCAGGTTCATGTTAGGGGTAGGCTCATGTTGGAATTTGTGGTCAGGCTCTTCCTGGACTCTGAGTGATTTCTGAGCAAGAGAAGTTACTTTATTTAGTTTAAATTGTTGACTAGAATTTCTTGATTTCTTCCCAACACAATGCCTCACGTTCAAGGTAGAAAAACAAAACAAAACAAAAACAAACAAAAATATACATTATCACTTCTCCCCAGTGAGTCTGCAAGCTCCTTATAATGCAGTAGTTTATAGTATATATCCTTAATATGATAGGATACACATGTATGTATGTATAGATACATAAATAAAGATATACAGTGATATTTTTCCTTCACTAAGATAGAAGGGAATTAATATAAATCACACATGCAAGATAGGAATTGGTTGGGTATGGAGCAATGGCTTTAGTCCTGAATCAACATTGTCTGATCATGAATTTTATCAGCTACCATGAGGTATATGTGAGTGGGAATGGAGTGGTGATATTGGGAGAATGAAGCATTTAAAATAGGTAAGTTGAAATCAAAGAGTACAATGCCTCCAGCTTTATTCTTCTTTCTCAAGAGTGGTTGGACTATTCAGGGTCTTTTGTGATCCCATACAAATTTAAAATTTGGGTTTTTTTCTTTTTCATGAAAAATGTCAGTAATCAAAATAACAGTACTGGTATGGGAGTAGACACAGAGATCAATGGAACAACAACAAAAATGGATACAGAAAGAAACCCACAAATATATGTAAACTAATCTTCACTAGATGTGCCAAGAAGCACAATAAATCAAGGAAAATCTCTTTAATGAGTGGTATTTGGAAAACTAGATGTCCATGGGTAAAAGAATGAACTTGAACTCTTGTCTTATACCATATACAAACATTAACTCAAAATGTATTCAGGGCTTAAATATAAGATCTGAAACAGTAAAACTCCTAGAAGAAAACATATACAAAAAGTTCTTTGACGTTGGCCTTGGCCATGAGTTTTTTGACATGATCCCCACAGAACAAGAGTCAAAAACAAAAATAAACCAGGACACTACAACAAACTCAAATGCTTCTACATAACAAAAGAAACAACAAACTGAAAGGCAATCTACAGAATAGGAAGAAATATTTACAAACCATGTATCTGATATGGGGCTAATGTCTAAAATATAAGGAACTCACCCAACTCAAGAGCAATGCCCCCAATAACCAAATAAAAATGGACAACAACAGACCTGGGTAAGCACTTCTCCAAAGATATAACCAAGCGATATTTAAAAACATACTGAACAGCATTATTCATTAGGGAAATGAAAATTCAAACCACAATCTTCTGTGCAGCTGTTAGTATGGTTTTTTCCAAAAAGACAACAGATAAAAGGATTAGTGAGGACGTGGAGAAAACGGTACCTTGCACATGGTTGGTGGGAATGTAAATTATACAGCCACTACACAAAACAGCATGGAGGGCCTCAAAAAATTAAATGTCGAACTACCATATGATTCAGCAATCTCTTCTAGGTAGGAGTCTAAAGGAAATAAACTCATTACCCCAAAGAGATAGATAGCATATCCTCATGGTCATCACAGCATAATTCACAATACCCAAAAGATAGAAATCACTTAAATATTCACAGATGGATAATCAGACAAAAGGATCATGATACATATGTACAATGAGATATTGCTCAGCATAAAATAAAGGAAATCTTGTTATTTGCAGCAACCTGAATGGAACTTGAGATCATTATGCTAAGTGAAATAAGCCAGGCACAGAGAGACAAAAACTGTGTGATCTCATTTCTATGTGGGATTAAAAAAATCAAATTCTCAGAAGTAAAGCATAGAATGATGAGAGCCAGGAGCTGAGTGGTGATGGAAATGAGGAAGATGTTAATCAATGCATTTAAAATTTCAGTTATAAAATAAGTAACTTTTGGAGAATCTGATCCCCAGCATGGGTGGTGATGGATTTGTTTACTTGATCACGATAGTCATTATACATTATCTACACATCTCAATTCATCACATTGTATGCCTTGGGGATCTACAGTCATTATTTTTCAATTCAACATTTAAAAATTACAAATGTGCAAATTTGGTTTTTGGTTTTTTGGTTTTATGGTACCAGGGATCGACCTCGGGTCCTTGAGTTTGCAGGGCAGATGGCAGAACCACTGAGCTAAATCCCTGGCCCCTACAAATGTGCAAATTTAAAAGACCATAGAGTCTGTCATTTGTGTTATTTTTGATCAGATAGAGTATCTATCAAGTTAGTTTTTTCAACTCAAAAATCATGGAAGTAGGTGAGCAGCTGCCCCTGCTGCCCAGACACTGAGCAAGACAGAAGTGTGTGGCAGAAGTGTGTGGAGCTGCAAGCAGTTCAGTCACAGACAGGAGCACAGGGGAAGGGGGACAGTGCTGTCAGCAAGAGGATGGTGCACTTGGGGTGTGGTGACTTTGCAATCCTGAGGGCAGGAAGGTGCATGTAGGATGGATGGCAGGAACACTGTCCTGAGGCGGCAGATGGGAAAGAAAACGTTGGCTGGTAGGAACTGAATTTAACCTGGGGCAGATTAAGAAGGAAAATGAACCATCACACTATCTTACTTTAACTGCAAACAAAACTATGGGGAAGACAGAACAGAAATCCAATGAACATATCCCAGAGAAAAAAAGCAAAACAGAGCCATGTAATGACTATAGCGCTAAGGATCATAAAATGACTAGGATGGATTGACAAAGAGATTCTGTGGGACCTGCAGTTTGAATGGAGTGGAAACACACCCTGAGTTGGACAGGGAGACCACTGGGATGGGAGAGGGCCCCAATTTAAATGCACCAGTGGGCTAGACAGTGATGGTAGAGACCTCTGAAGACCTGGCCCCTCCCCCCATATAATTCCTGTGTGGTGTTCTGTGCATTACTTCTTCCTAATCATCTTTATTTCCCTTTATCATGAAGTAGTTAGACTTGAAAAGACTTACAGAATCTTCTGGGAATTGGGTATATTTAGAGTTCTTAACCTTCTAGATACTGGCTCTGGAGGACACACAATTTGAGTGTTGCCTTGCTTATTTGCACTAGATTACACTGGGTGGGGTCAGGGTGGAATCCAAGCTAAAACAAAACAAAGCTAACTATGGCTCTGGCAGTATCCTTATGCCAAGAAACCTGGAAAATCCAGAATCAGAAAAGATCTTGAAATTTTTAAAATGTATGTATTTATTATTTTTACTATCTTTTGCTTTAAAAATCGACAGATAATTGGACATATTCATAGGGTACAGTGTTATAATTCAATAATATACATAATGAATAATGATCAAATCAGAACAATTCTTAATTTCCTCTCCTTATACATTTTCATTTCTTTGGGTTGGGTATCTTTGAAATCCTCTCTTCTAGTTTTTCATAAAACATAAAATAAATCATTGTAAACTACATTCACCTCATTGTGGTGCAGAACAGTAGAACTTATTCCTGCTACCTAAAGTCTCACTGTTACCCAGAATTATGAAATACTTCACACTATAGTAAAATTATAACTCATTTACATTGGCCTGGTTTTCTCCTTTGCCTTGCTCTTCCCACCCGGGCCCAATGTGCTACCTCACACAACTGTTTTTTAAAAAATCGCATGCTGGCCCGGGGATTTAGCTCAGTGGTTCCGCTGCCTGCCTGGCGAGCACAAGAACCCAAGTTCGATCCCTGGTACCAAAAAAAAAAGTATTTAAAAATCGCATACAAAGTTTGCTAAGCACACCCACAGTGCAAAAATCCTAAGGAAAAATGTTTTCCCTAATTAAGAAAAAATTTCTTTAAAACACTTTAGTGCAAATATTAATATGCTATCTATCTCTGCAAATATTAGCTCATTTCAAAAAGAAAATAAACAAGGGACTTGTGAATCAGAGATGGGGAAACTCCAAAACAGACTGACCAAAGCCCGAGGGCCAGTCCAGGTCTGTGAGGGTGTGGCGGCCTCCCCAAGTTACTCCTTGGTCCACGGCTCTGTGCTCGATGCCTCTTAGCGGGTGATGAGATGGACAACGATACAGTCCTCAGTGAAAGTCTTAAGTACAATGCTCTGAGTTTTGCAGGCCCGTAATGTGGGTCTCTGGCATATTCGTACATTTCACTAGCTCTTGCATGACATCTGGTAGTTTTGGTTTGTTGAATGTGTGGTTCTAATCTTCTCACGGCACCATGCACTGTGAGGTAGCATGGTCCTTTGCTTAACTCGCTGTGATGCAGCCACACAAGCTCAGAGGACTGACGGTATTAAGAACATAGATGCTAGAGGCAGGCATTGAAGGTCTGAGGTTAAGTCCTGCCTCCTCTGCTGACTAGATCTGCTCCCTTGGGGTGTCATCCATCTTCAGTTTTCTTGGTTGTAATGAGTAAATTATTTAACTCCAAGCAATACCTGGCACTGAGGAGAGTGAGGTACTTGACTCTACAAATTTTAAGAAAGGGCACCAAGAAACACCGTAATAAAGACATATAATCTTTTAATGCATTTTTTTAAAATGTCAATAGTGTTTGTTGATTGTAATGCACAATTAAAAATTCAGAGTTTATAAAGAAAAATTTTTTTCAGGGTCTATACACAAGAACCCTGATTCGGGCACTTGGAACCACATTCATCTGCCCTGAGAAAGCATTGACAGCTACTAAGAGTAAGATCATCCTCGGTTACTGATCCAGTGGCTCCGCATGGACCTCAGCCAGGGGCAGAGTTGCTGGGGAGTGCCCAGACACATGCTCTGTCTTTTAAATCCCTGTTCATATTAGTGCACACAGATAGATCCAGTGTGCACCCTGGCAGTTGCACTAGTCTTTTCGTATTTATTAATGAAGCCATATATAATTTCACCTTGGTAATTTTTCCAATTGCTCCTTTCTGTGACAGTGCTAAATCATAGGCAATGACAACTGGAGGCACTGTTACCCCTGGACACACAGCAAGCGTCCTGGAGCCTGGACTGGTAAGGGCACATCAGCAGGTTTTCTCATCACTTCTTGACTTTGGAATGTGCTGTTGTTTGGAAGATAAGAATACCCCCTACATCACCCTCCTTCTGGCTCCCAAAGCCAGACTGCCTTCTCCCCTCTCCCTCCTTCAAGGAAAATTAAATGAAGACAGCTAAGGAGCAGTTTTATTTTCTTTCAGCAAAGGTCAGCAATCCCACAGCAGCAAATTAATCCCAATTAGTAATGATATTTTGTCTTGATAAATGATGACACATTTGATTTATTGTGTTTCCAGGATGCAGGCAGCAAATGTTAATGATTTGCTTTGCTGGAATTTATACTCTTGCTCATTTCCCATTTGCTGATCAGTTGTGGCTCCTGAAGACTTGGCTGCTTCAACTAATGAACTGAGAGGCTCTCAGGAATAATGGTGTCTTCTGCAGCCTTCCTTTTTTTTTCCATGCCATCTGTAGAAATGCAGGTTCTTCTCAGAAAATATCTCTGGCAGGCAGGAAGGAGCGATTATGATCATATCAATGTCACTTGTAATTTGTATTTCACTTGTTTAATGGCATCCCCAATAAATGAAGCTTTCTGTACAGAACAAAACTAATTACAGCAAATTCAGAACTGGTGTGTGTGTGTGTGTGTGTGTGTGTGTGTGTGTGTGTGCACACGCGGGCAAAATGAGGAGAACTCATGAATAGAAACATCTAGTCTTTCTTCATTTCCTTAAAATATTCTGATAGCAGTGATGCGGTTTACATAATGATTTATCTGCCCAGCTGGTATGATTTTAAATTAGACCAATGAGGATGTTTTCTTGAGGTCTTCATAACTGAACATGCCATCCTTTTGTGTACAATAAATGCAGACATAAATGAAACGCTTTCTCTTTTCCACCCCTAGGTTCCCAACTGGTGCTGAGACTTGCCATAGGCCTGCACAACTCTTCATAAAGCCTGCCTGCCACAGCTGCCCCCGTGGCGGTGCATGTCAGGACCGGGTGACCCTGGGACTTATCCCCCAGGCTTAGCAGATTCACAGCAGCAGGATGCCCAGGGGAAGGTGAACTTTCCCACTGCAGAGAGGCTGAGGTGCCTTACACTCTGATATGATCTCTACTACAGAAAATAGATGGGATTGGCTGCAGCTTGAGGCAGGCTGGCATCACCGTTGTTTACATGAGTGTGAGCATGAGATATGAGAGCGACCATTACCATCCTCATTTAAGAGCTGAGAATGTTAGAAGCCCCATTAACATTCTCCTCCAGGGAACTGAATGTTTCCCTCTGATTTTTAATCATTGTTCTTACTACCAACTAGCAAAACATCAATAAGCTTCACTCTTCTTGCTTAAGGCAACACTTACACACTTATTATTATGGTAAATGTCCAGACCCACCTTAGGCATCTTCCATTTCCCCTTCTTGAGACTTCTGTTCTGCCTCTCTATCCCCAGCCTTTCAGCTTTCAGCTCTGGGATGAGATTGAGCTTCCCTGCTGTCTCTGGAATGGCTGGGGACATCTGACCCTTTAGCAAAGGTTGATGTCTTGGACTGGTGCAGGGAGAGATATTAATGCGATGTTCTTCACCAGACTACTTCTCTATTTCAATGTCCTCTGCTTTTCAAGCAGACATATTTTCCTTCTTATATTCTTGCCACAGTGTCCAGTGAAGCATCCTCTGTATATGTTCAGGTATTCTGAGAACATGGACAAGAACATGGAATTAAACATGTACAAATTTTAAGAGGGGAAATGCTTATGTTCAAGAAAATTAAAGAGAGACAGGGAGGTTGAGGAGGCTAGGAATGTCCTATGTTCTAGTGCTGGTGGTTTTGTTTCTCTTGTGGTGAATATGATACAGGATTGACTTATGCCCCTGGTTTGGCTATCTTACAAAGATAAGCCATTTGTATCCTGCTATTTCAGTGAGACTATTCTATATCCTGGTGGACACAATTGACATTTCTTGGGTTGCATAACAAACATGAAGATGGTCTTTCAATGAGATTCGTGTTGGAAAGCTGAAGGTGCATCTGGCTGGTTCTTCCCTTGAAGTCTAACGTCAGTCCTATATGCTTTTTAACATATTCCTTAGGCACCCCTTCATTATAACATTTCCCATTCAAATAGCTCAGCAAAAGAACACCTGCACTGTATGTTACACTCACCCTGTACATTACAGGATATATGCCATCGGTACCATTATTTCCCTATAAACCTTATCCTCTATTCTCTCCCAGAGAGTGTGGGTAAGGAATAATATGTGAGGGGCAATGCTGAGTCTAACTTTCTGTGTTATTATGTTAGTTACTCTTCCATGGTTGATAAGACAAAATATCCCACACCCAAAGTTAAAGGGGAAAGAGTTTATTTAGCTCACAGTTGGTAGAGGTTTCAGTCCATAATCAGCCGGCTTTGAGGCCGAGTGGCACACAGCAGAGGGGCATCACACAGGAGAAACAGTTCATGGCGCCCACATGGTAGCAACAAGAGAATTTATCAGCATCTTTCTGCCCCTTTTTCTTATACAGACTACCAAGATTAGGCCGGTTTCAAATCAGTCAGTGCACTCGTTCAGCAATCACACGCCTGTGATCCCAGCATCACACACTCTACCTTCAGCCACTGCATGAGGCTTTGAGGGGAAACCCAGACCCAAACCATAACAGTTATCTTTCACTAGTCCATTTAATATCACGGAACTTCATATTTCATTCTGTGAACAAAGAGAATTTGATTAAAGGATCTTGAAAGCTTTCTGTTGGTACTACTACTCATGAAACTTTGGTCTATTTAATGTCAAATGGTAAGCATTCTATCAGTATTTAATATAGTGATTTTGACCTCAGAAGGGGCTTAGGATTATTAAAGGGTCAGGTGGTGGGCTGTCTCCCAAGAGGACAGTAGAGACCCTGTATTATAGCCCCAGAAGGTATGAGTTGGAAACAGGAAATCTTATGCTTCTTAAATCAGATACAGCAGGATGAGTGCCCTCAAACAACCAAATGACAACCTGATCGCATTGCCATTTTCTAAGTGTGATCTAGGGAAAATGCAGGATCATTAATAACACTGTGTTTTAAGAGAGTGCGTGATGGCATTATTGACAGGACATGGGAGAATGGGGAGATCCAGTCCTGTCTTTGACTTTATCTTTAATGCCTTTGGACATGTTACCCAGAATGAGTTCCCAGAGATATCTTAAGCATTGATATCAACCTGTTAGAAACCTAGAAGCTCAAGCCTCACCCCAGAACTACTCGATCAAAATTTGTCTTCCAGCAAAATTCCCAAGTGTTTCATATGTGGATCAAAATTTAAAAACTTGACAGGAGAGGGTCCATACCTCGTAGGGCCTGAAACTTACCTTTAGGAATAATGTATAAGCTATGTGTAGGCATATACATGCATGTGTATCATTCTAACCTATTCTTTTTATCAGCTTTTAGTGCTTAAGACATATCCTAACCTTTCCTTCCCTCTGTTTTCTGTAGTATACATGCAGAATCCTGATCCACTGCAAAGGCCATTCTATCAGAAGAGCTTGACATTGAATGTTTTCTCTGTCATAGGTAAGGTGCCAGCTGATCTCAGTTGTCAACTTGACTAGATTAAGAATCATTTGCAGATGTGGTTGGATCAGGGGGCACCATAAACTGTAGTGGATTAATCCACTGACATTCATAGCTGAATGCGTTGTCAGGAGATGGGGTCCAGCTGGAGGTGAGTTACTAGGAAGATGTCTTCAGAGGCCATCTTTCCAAGGAGATTTTTCCCTGTGCTCTGCTTCCAGGCTGCCATGAAGTAAGCAGCCTTGCTTCACCACATTCTTCTGCCATGATGCTTCTATTTTGGAGCCAGTGATCATGGACTGAAACTTCTGAAACCATAAGCCAAAAAGAAAATTTCCACCTTTAAGTTGTATATTTTGTTCCAGCAATGGGAAAGACAGTCAACACAGATAATATTAGTAGCTAATATTTAATGAGTGCTTACTAAGTGTTAGGCAAACTGGATATGGATATTTCATTTTATTTTATAGCAATCTGAAGAGCCAAGAGACTTCTTTTAGAATTACCCTTATTGTAGAGATAGGTATGTATCAGAGAAAAGATTAGTCCCAAGGATCAATTCTATGGCCCATGTTCTTGAAGATTGAGCCATACTCCCCTTTTGATGACAAAAGTAAAATGTCCAAGGAGCCTGCAGTCACTGAAACAAAGAGAATGAACACACTGGGGGAACTCTGTAATAGTGTGAGCATCCAGGAAGCAGGTCAGCCAAGTGTCTTCCATGTGCCCAGCTCATCTTGTAGAGCAGCTCAGCTATTGCATCAGCTCATGAGGCAGGCTTTGAAGGTGGCTCTTTCATTAAGCATTTCTCTTCATGATTTTCTGCTTAAGGTGGAACCACTGAACTCAAAGCTCAAAAGGGACCAAAGAGAGCATTCCAGGAGCCAAAAGCAAGATGAAGCATGTCATTTAATGTATTTTTACTAAATCTTTCTATAAGAATAACCTCCATGGTCTTGTGGCTTTCAATTCTTTACAACAAAAGCTATTGGTACTCATCAAAGTAGTTTCTCTTTCTACTTCACTATATGGAAAGAGATGATAAGATCCTTATAAATTTTTCAATAACAGCCTCAACCATTGACAAATAAACCAATGTAACAGACATAGAAAGACCTAAAATTAAAGTTTTTGGTGGTTAAAAAGAAAATACTAATTACTATAAATGTTATTTCCTATTTTCTTTCCTCCTTCTTCTGTATTATTTCTAGGACTACACCTCAACCAACATGATGTAAAATATTATACCCATATGAGTTTACTGTATCATTAAGTCAGTAAAATGGATGTATACACACCAAACTTGGTGTCTGAAGACTGCACTGGGATAGACAGTCACCCCTGCATGTTGGCCTTCTGTTTTGGTCCACTTTCTGGGGTCCTTAAGAAGCTCGATGGAATACTCTCTATTTCTCTGGTCCTTTTGGATGACATCGGTTATGCTATTTCTGAAGTCAGCCACTTAAAGTAAGAATAAAAACACTTATTTCAATTGTACTTGAGGTTGTTGTAAGATTACTAGTCAAGTTGTGAAGAGTAGGAAAACAAATATCAATGCAAACTAAAAGTGCTCCACCATTTTGACTTTGAAACACTAAAGAACTAAACCTATACGGATTTTCTGTATAGATTGACTGAGGAGGAAAGAAAGGCAACTTGCCAAGCAGAAGGGTACATCTGCATGGAAATTGAATCCAAAAACATGTTCGCAAGAAATGTAGCTAGATGAGCAAAGGTGGCCTGAAAATGCTGGTTCTAAATATAACTTCAATCATATTGACAGTGAAAAGAAATGACATAAAAGTGATGAACTCAAAATAAGGTGATATATGCTGTGAAGAAATCTGAATTATAATGATTTCCGACACAGATGTTACAAAGAAAAAAATCAGATAACTTTAAATGGCACTGTTGTTATATTTAAGACAAATGAAAATGATATGAGGGGCCTATGCCAATTTGCAAAATATCAAGAACAAAGAAGTTAGCCAAGTGATTCTATCATGTCTGGATATGGGCTTTCTGGGGGGAAGTCATAGCTGAATGATGAGGCAGGGTGATCCCCAAGGCCATGGGATCCTTCGGTGGAAGAATATCCCGGCTTTATGGAGAAGGGAGCCAGGAAGCCACTCAACAGATGTTTTTATTACCTCCCCTGCTTGGGCATGGAGAAAATACACTAAGGTGGTGATGTGGATTTGGAGTGTGAGTCCCTGAAGTGGGTTACCATAGTTAGAAGCCAAAATAGCTGCCCTGCTGCAGTACAGAGTCAGACTGCAGAATCTATGCTTACGTGCCGGGAAACAGCTAACACCAACCACAAGGAAAACAGAAGGCGCCGAGAGCAGGAACCATGACAGGGTGGTATCAGGGTCCACTCTGACATCAACAATAAGCGAATGAGGTTAGTAATTCTTTAAAAACAGAAGCAAAGTGAAAACTTTGGTCAGTGGTGATTGATAATGACTGAATTCCTTAAATACAAAGTTCTGTTTACTAAAATCACAATTTAAATTCTTCAGGAAGATTTCATTGCCACTCTCATTTTACAAACCACAAACTTATAAGATAAATAAACTGATTATGTAAGTAAAGTATCTAATAGATTGTGGACATTGTAGCAGTGGCCTAACATGCCCTAATATGTGTGTATTTGTGAGTGTGTTTTAAATGTTTTTAGAAATCATTGATTTCTTTCTCTCCTTCCCATATATAATGAGGTTGTGGTTTTGTTAAAACTTCTTAATTGAGTTCAGATTATATATTTAGTTACAAAATATTTACTCTTATTGTTTTAGTGTAGGTCATCATGATCATTTTTCTGAACTAAAATTTGGGGTTTTCACACACTCAGAGACACACACACACAAAGACCTCACCTACTTCAGTCCATCAGATGCTAATCTACCAGTGGACTAATGATATTTATGGGCCCTAAATCTAAAAAATGATGTCATGTTAGTCATCTGTACATAAAATATATTAAAAATAATAAAAATGGTAAAGCTATTTTGACTAGCATATTTACACTTTCTTAAAATGTTAAAAATAGAGTTATAACTCCCAACACTTCCACTCCTAAGTATATACTCAAGGAAAATGAAATAATGTGTTCACAGAAACAGCTATACACAAATTTTTATTGTAATATTATGTATACATGCTAAAATTATGGTCAGCCTCCATGAGTAAGGCATATCTATACAGTGGATTATCATTATTCGTGTATATACAGGAGTGAAATTCAGACACATGCTACAACACAGATGTAGGTTTAAAGCAGGCTAAGAAAAAGAAGCCAGATGTGAAAACACACGTTAGATAACCTCACATATATAAAATATCCAGAAGAGACAAATCTGTAGAGACAGAAGTGTTAGGGTTGTCTGGGGCTGGGAGGGTGGCTGAAGAGGTAATGCTGAAAAATCCAAAGTTTCTTTTGAAAATGGGAAAAATGTGCAAAGTTAAACAGTGGTGATGGACAGAGAG